TAAGTCGCCCAGAGTCCCCTATTGTGGGGGAGATGGGCGGGGGAGAAATCCAATAAACAAACAAACCTTGGCAACTTTAAGATGTGTGAACTTCAACTCCCAGAAATCCCCAGCCAGGTTTGCCAAGGTTGAGAAACACTAGCCTAGCTAATGGGGATAAACAATGGGGAAGGATACGTATAAGCTTTCTGGAGGCATTTAATTGGCCACTTTGGGAACCAAACTTTGATTCAATGGATCTGTGGATCTAAATCAACAGCACTATTTTTGTGTTCATAGTTCAATTATTGTTGCCAGACTCAGCCTAAATATAGTCTAGGTGGACAGGAAACAGATGGCAGCAGGCGAAGTGACATTATCATTTTAGATCCTAATCCTTCTCCAAAAGAAAGAATGTATCATATTTGGAATTATCCCATATTATCTGGATTATTTCTCTGTAGGACATTGCATTAGCTCTCAAGAAGGTCAACCTGCAAAGGGAGCACTCAAAGGTGTTAAATTAGGGACAGGCCACATTTTTCTGTCGACTGTGTTCCTTCAGGATAATCTATTAAGGGCTGAAGCAAATAATGAATGGTTCCAAACCCAGAAGTAATTAGGGACAATCATTCTTCCTGTGATAGCCTCTTTTTTCTCCATCTGGCCCCCTGGTTTTTGGTTTTTTGTTTTTTTCTCAACATTCCTAATTGGTAGTAAAGTGAGAGTTAGGCATGTTCCGTTCTTTTCTTAGATCCAGGGTAGTATTTCTCAACTAGAAGGTATGGAAAGCTTTCACAAAGTGATTGCAAAGAATTACCCACTTGGCCATTGATGTTGGAAGAATTCCAGTGTTACTCTCTTGGGGCTAATGAGCTTAAAGGTTACAAGAAATAAGTATAATCAGGATACAAATGTAGACAGTTGCTTGATGTTGGCATGTGGCACAATATGGCCACCTGTTGTCCTCTAGAAGAGAGAAAATCTCTGACTCTCCAGATATTTATGGACTACAACTCCCAGCATTCCTCAACATTGGCCATGCTGGATAGATTTTTTTGGAAAGTAAATGACCACATATTCACCACTCCTACAGCGTCTTAATGGCCACATATTTCCCACTCATGCTCAATATAAATACATTGAACCTAGCACATTTAAAACATATCCTTTCTTTTCTCGATGATCTCTTTTCTAATATATTCTCTCTTCTTCAGTTTGTATTTACTTTGTGTGCCACAACATAGCCAACTGTACCAAAGCATCTCTTCTCTATCTGCCAGCTTTCCAGCTAAATAGTAAGAAAGAGACATAGTTCCTCTGCCTGTCCCAGATGGCACCAGGGCCATCTTCAGGGAGGGTCAAATTCTGCAAGATGGCAGGCATGGTGTCACAAAACTCAAACACACCAAAGGGATTCCCTCCCTCCCTCTCTGTCACATACACAAACACACACACACACACTGGGACCCCCCTGCCCTGGTTTGTCTTGCTATCACACCTGCTACTGCTGTGGGGCAGCTTCCTTTTTTCCTTCAACCTCATAAGTACAGCTGGACAGACCTATAGAATGAAGCTACATTGCAGTATAGCTTTTAAGAGACCCTCAGGAGCTGCCAATTCAAGAGATTATCATATCACATTATGCAGTTCTTTAGATCATTCTTTTTAATTAAAAACACAAAGAACCTTAATACAGGTAGTTATGATTATTTGTTTAATGACCATTCAAAGTTATAATAATGCTGGAAAAAGTGACTTATGACTGGTCCTCACACTTACGACTGTCCCAGTGTCCCAGTGATCATGTAATCAAAATTTGGGCACTTGGCAGCTGACATGTATTTATGATGGTTACATTGTCCCGGGGTCACACGATCACCATTTGCGACCTTCCCAGGGGGCTTTGGACAAGCAAAGTCCATGGGGGAAGGTGGATTCACTTAATGACCATGTGATTCACTTAACGACTGTGACAAAAAAGGTCATAAAATTGGGCGTGCCTCACATAACAACCGCATCACTTAACGCTGGAAGTTCTAGTCTCAATTGTGGTTGTAAGTCAAGGACTACCTGTAAATGGACTCTGGGTTCAAAGATTTTCAGAAATCCTGCCATGTTTGAATTTTCCTGACATCAACGTAACTGTACTGCAGAAAAATGAGCTGCCACAAGTATATTCATCTGGGCATAGTGGCAGACAAAGCAAACTCTTAGGCAGGTATCAGAGAATAATGAGGAACAGCACCAGAACAACACAGGGATGAAGTCCTGCTGGGCCTGATTCAACCAAGTAGTAGTACACAAAAAACTGTTATATTTTTATATTTCAAGTGCTGATGATTAATGCTTTGAAGTTGTGTTTTGGTTTAATTGGGGGGATCTATTTCTTGCAGGGATATCCCAATGCCTTTAGTCACTTCAGGAGTGGAACATGGTAACTTGAGAGAACTTGCTTTGGCCAGGATGAAAGACTTAGGAACAGAGGTAAAATATATAATTTCATTCAGTGTTTCTTGTGTCTACTCTTATCTGTGCCAAGTATGACTTGATTTGCAAGATACCCATTTTCTCCTGGCATGGAGGCCAGAGTACAGCCATAGAGATCCTTGAAGAAGGAATAGCTACAAATGGTGGAATGATCTTATTTCTCTGGAGGGGTTGATAATAGGCAGCCTGAAGTTCATCAAAACAATCACTGCATTAAAATTGTTATTATCTCATCATTGTGATAGAGAAGTAGGCTCCATCCTGCTGACTAATTTCAAACACACAGAACTGACATGTAGGAGAGCTATGCTTCTGATTCTACCTAAATTAATAATCCCCATTCAGATAAGTGGGGGGGGAGGGGAGATGAAGGGGATATAAACCATATCATATCTGGATGCCTCATGAACAGTCATAATGAATGGTTCATATTACATATGAAAAGGCCTGTCTGGAATCAGCCAAAGACAGGAGCTGGCATGAATGTGGCAATTTCTGTCTTCAGGATAAGGTAGCCATGTAGTTGTTTTATAAAGGGCTATTCTGTATTTCCAGGTATATTAGATAACAGTCCTGTCTGAAGATCTCCTATATTTAGATGGCTGTTCTTTAGAGCTTGAGCTACACAAAGACAGTACATAAGCTCTTAGGACTCAAGGGATTTGGGTGAAATGCCACCATTTATATTTGTTCATGGAAAAGGGCTTTTAAATCTTTTTTTCTCTGTTGAGCAGAACTCATTGTTGCTTGTCCCCCTTTGGTGTATTTAATGCATTTATAAAAGATAGGAATAAATAACCATTTGGGCCAGAAGTACAGTACATTTGGAACATTGAGAGCATATGGTGGAAGCCCCCCCCAAAATTGGCCATAATAGGAAACTGCTAGAGTAGACATGGCCAATCTCAAAAAGCCAAATTGTCTAACAAATGAGTGGGACCTTTGTGAAGCCTGAAGGCATTGCTTCAAATCAGTGATGTTGACAGAAGCTGCTGCTTTGTAGTATGCCAGGATCCTATTTATTTATTTTTCGATTTTAAATGTTGGGTACGATAGGGAGCCTAGAGGACATCAAAGGGAGAAGTTTGGAAGCGTCTTGGTGCCCATGAGCACTTAGATCCTATTCCTGCTACAGAGGAATTCGTCACATTTTACCTTGTGTGTTCAGCTGAGAAGCTTGCATTTTGAGTGAGTTGCAGTAACAGAACAAACAAAAACTTTAATTATTATTAGTCTAAATTAGCCAGGATTAAGATGAATATCCTGGGTAAATCAAAAAATATTTACACAATACCTAAAGGATATTCAGATTCACATCACGCTTGCTACTGTAGAAGAAGAATGATGAATGCTATTACTCTTACTTCCAATGAGAATCCCTTGAAGAAGATTGTCATTGCCAAACAGGTTCATTTGAGAATGGCTGAGCTTAGGAGTTTTAAATGGCTTTAAGGTTAAAACCAGTACTTGATCTGTGCTTAGAAATGAGTTGTGAGCTAGATGCTTTATAGATCAGATCACACGTAACCTAGAAGTTTTTGGATTACAGTTCTCTTAAACTGTCATCTAAAGTTATCCTGCTAAGCTTGACGGGAATTAAACATATGTTTCCTGTCCCATTTTAATGTAATCTCACCCAGAATAGACAAGGTATCTTTCATCATGTTTGAAAGTTTATTGACCCTAAGCCTTTCTTAGAGAAGCATGCCAGATTTCAACCCCTAATCCTTCATGGAAAGCAAACTCTACATTTGTGGCAAATTGTTCAGGAGTTTCTCTATCTACATTGCTTCAAATTAGCATGATCACCACCCCTGCTTCAGTCCTCATTTTTTCCAGTGTAAAGCATAATCAACATTGTTATCTCATATTCAATGAGAAATTTCTCCAAACCTTGCTGGGTTTTTTAATATCAATTGGTACATTTCTTCATGAGATGCAGATGCTGAAGGAAACCAGTGTCTGTTAATACATGCAATGGGTGGGCTTTTATTTTATATACCAGGCTTTCCTTCCTTTTTTTCCAGAGATGTATTAGGAATGGATAAGTAAGCATTTTTATTTTTAAATCTCTCCTTCGTATTGTCCTCTTAAGTCTATTTCAACTTAATTTTAAACTCTGGAGAAAGTGATGGTGATGGCAATATTCCTTAGCCTACATATGCTTCCTGTTGTAATTGTTGTCTGTCTCTTCTTATCTAAAGCTTTGTATGTCTTTTACTTACCTATCTAGTGCCGTGATGTGAGAACAAGAGAAGTTGGAATACAAGAGATACATCACAAAGTGAGACCCTATCAGGTGAGCGTTGTTTTTTCTGAACAAGATTTGCTCTCTGTGTGTGGGTGGGTGTTTAAAAAAAGAACTTGACACCCTCTTATAGAAGTTGAGATAGGGAGAAATACTTATCTTTAACTCTGTTCCCAAAGTAAAAAGAATCTGCCTCTTATCAAACCAGATCAGTAGTCTAAACAACTTTGAATGTATCTTGAATAAAACATCTCAGCCAGCGATTCTCAGCTGGTGGTACATGTACCATCAATGGAAAGTGAAACTGAACCAATTTAGGTGGGATGCAGATAAATGTCCATCTGAGGAGAAAAGGCACAACTGCATCTCCTGATTCATTCTGCCTGACCATGGCTCACCCAGCTTTTTGTCCAGCCCATCCATTCCTACTCTTGCACATCCTCATCACCCTTACAACCCCTGGAAGAAAGAAGAAAAATCATGCTTACCTTACATCTGCCAGAACTTGAAATGATGCTGCTGTGGGTTTGCATTGGCCATGGAGCCTGTTGCTAGACTAGGGAGTTGAACAATTGCCACTTGGCACCTTAGCAGCAGCAGAGGCCATCAGAAGAAGTGAAAGGCAGTGTGTCATTCCTCTCAGTAAGGCAACTGGCTTATCCCACATCTATCCCATAACTCCCCCCCTTTCTTTTATAAGTTATCTTAAGGACTAATCTTGGTATTGGCCCATGCATGCCCATCGACAGGAACCCAAATGCTCTCCTTTCCCACAGGGCAAAGATTCATAGAGCATTGATCCTTTCCTGTGACTTTAATAGCTGCCTTCCAGGTAGAAATTTTACTCTTAGCAGCTTATAATAGGGGAGGTAGTGCTGGCTGAACTTCTGTCTTATCCATTATGATTTTCCTAAAGCCATTTTTTAGTATCTGAGAGAATCCAACAGGAAAAAGTTAAGCTGGGAGACTTGTATCCAATTCTTTGTTCTCTTACCTTTTTACTTCTGGTGGGGTCCAGGTTCTTTGGCAGATGCAGTTGTAGATGCAAAAGGTTGAGAACCATTGGTCTAACCTGCATGAGGGTCACCTTATTAGCAAAAATGATTCAGTTTTTGTATAAACAAATTTGTTCAGGGGAAAAAAATCACTTCAGCAAATAAAATTAGCATAAGTCAAATAAACATGTTTCCAAACATCTCAGCCAATTTATAGGCTCAGAAAATTATTTTCCAGTTCAAAAAGCATGTTTATCCATAATTGGATCTGAGATAGAAAACATTCTGTTAACATTCCAGAAAGCTGTGAAAACGGTGCTTTTCCAGAGAG